GAGCATCCAGCGTTCAAAAAGTTCGGAGCCAAATTCTACAGCCGCCCCCTGCCAGGTTGCAAGCATCTGAAACAGTTCACGGACAGGTACTGGGAATGTCACATCCGCCAATTCACGTCCCTCATCTGGCACGATGTCGGCACGTGCAAGATGGGACCTCCCACCGATCCCGGAGCTGTGGTGGACCCAACCCTCAGGTATCACTACATCAGATAGATTAAGTCAAACGACTCCAACCCGTCTCGAATGACTATTCTCCATCAACCGAGCAGGGTCTACGGACTGAAGAATCTACGGGTCGCAGACGCATCCATCATGCCTGTGATAATCACGGGGCATCCGATGGCCGCCTGCATCGTCATCGGGGAGAAGGCCTCCGATCTCATCAAGTCTTCCTATAACCTATGATGGCCGAAAGAATGCCGACCGAGAGCCTACCGAGTGCCGACTCTCCTTGCCTCCAAAGCGGGTACCGAATGAGTGCTCCTTTTCTAATGGATGTTCGATTTTACTAGGAATAAATTTATACGAATCTTTTCGCCTTCGTCCTTCTAAGGAGTTTTCAGTATAATTCGCCTCTGATCGGGATGGACATGTTCTTATGTTTGCTATATTTCAAAATAATCTGTAAATCTGTAAAATAATCTGTAAAAATAATCCTGAGGTTATTTGTAAACGATAAAGTGGTCACTTATTCCTGACTGACTTGATGAGTTCACAGCTCCCCGATGAGTTCAAATGAGTTCACCTGGCTGTTGAAATACTTTCGCGATAGATTTGTCTGCCTTAGCATTTAAAAAAAAGGGTTCTATTACGGTTCTCGATGACGATTTTGATCATGTAAAAAAAATATTAAAATGTCTTATTTTTGGTGTTGCCAAATAGTTTGCATTGTGCACCTTCATCACTTGACGGAAAGTGACGAAAATTAATTTAGTAAATAGCACCGATGAGCTCATTATCGATTTTGGACACGAGAACTCATCCGGAGAGTAATTTAATGAAATTATGAAATGAACATAATGATTCATTCTCTGCTAACTGCATTTGCTCGTTCGAATCGCCCCTGATCGCAGGTGAAACAAGGCAAATTAAAAAAAAAAATTTTAATGGAATTTTTCAGCGATAAGCGTCAGCGTGTGAATACTATTCTATTTTTTATTTAGGACACACATTTAAATGCCCAAATATTCATCGATGAGCCTCCGCAGTCACAAAAATTGCACCCAAGTTCAAACGAGGAAATTCGGACTGGCCCGAGGGACTCTCGTGGAAGTTCCTGAGGGATTTGAAAAATCTGCTGATTATCGAAATTACGGGCTGTGCCCGATGATAAGGGGATTTCCAGGTTGTTTTTGTCTGTAACTCCATTTCCTTCTTCGGTTGCCCTGTGAGATTACCCAATTTCCCTTGCGATCCGGAATTGCGGCCGCACGAGATGAGTACCACACGGACGATCATTGACAGTCGAGGCAAGGCAAGGCTCATCGAATCGAGGGCATTTAAATGTGTGTCCTAAATAAAAAATAGAATAGTATTCACACGCTGACGCTTATCGCTGAAAAATTCCATTAAAATTTTTTTTATTAATTTGCCTTGTTTCACCTGCGATCAGGGGCGATTCGAACGAGCAAATGCAGTTAGCAGAGAATGAATC